ATCAGCTATTACATGAATAGAGGACTAAAGTCTCAAATATATAAAGATCTCAAAAGAATTAGGTCATCCAAAAGAGAAGACCCAGTCAAAAAAATTGGGTAACCAAAGTAAACACTTCTCAGAAGCACAAATGTCCAATAAATACATGAAAAAATGCTCAGAATCACAGGCCATCAGAGAATGCAAATTAAAAATACACTAATATACCATCTTACCCCAGGAAGAATGGCTACCAACAAAAAATGTAATAATAATGAGTGCCGGAGACAATGTGGTAGAAAATAACTCATCTACAGTATTGGTGGGAATGTAAACTAAGAAACCACTGGGATATTCAGTATGGAGAGGCCTCAAAAAGCTAAAAACAGAAATTTCATTTGGCCCATCTTTTCTCCTTCCAGGTGTCTTCCCAAAAGTGTCAAAATCATAACATTACAGAGTTATATGCGTACCCATGTTTATAGTAGCACAATTTATAATAGTTAGATCTTGGCAATATCATATGTATCCACCAACAGATTAATAGACAAGATAAATATATTTTTACATAATGAAGTATACTGCATTGGGAAAGATAACCTTGAAGTATTCCTAAGAAAATGGATGCAACTTGAGAACAGCATTAAGTGAAATAAGTTAGACACACAGCTTAAATATCACATGATTTTTCTTATATGAAAAACAAATATATAAATGGACAAATAAAAAGCAAAGTATAAGAGAGATAAATAGGAAGTAGGGAGAATTTCAAATACTCACACAAATTACATATTTCATTGTTTCAAGAATATTTTCATACATACAGTAATTTGTTTCATTTACACTGTTAATCTTAGACTGATGAAAAGAAAGTTTTGTGTTATCTGTTTGTTTCTTTGTTGTTAGAATCTTTTTGGTGTATGTTTGTGGTGGTGCACACCTGTAATACCCAGAGTGGAATGGTAAGACAGGAGGGTCACAAGTTCAAGCTTAGCCTCGGCAAATTAGCAATTTAATAAGGCCTTATCTCAGAAGTCTCCGAATTTAATAATAATAATGATGATAATAAATAATTGTCCATATAGTTCATGTGAAGGTCCTGAATTTAGTCCTGAGTGCCAGAAAGAAAGAAACAAATCAAGACAATAGGCTCCTTCAGCTCTATGTGGATTGGAATTGATGTGTTTGGGTTTTTTTTTAATTCCATAATTCGGTGAGAAAGACAGATAAAGAGTTAAAGAGGAACCACTGACAAAGTAGAAACACACTGCATATATGTTAAACCAAGGGGACAGTGATCCCAGAGAGTGAAGAGATTGCAGACACACAACTCAGATCATCTCTTCCTGACAGTCTAGGAAGTTCAGACGGGCTGGGGGACAGTGGCTTCGTTGTTGCGGTGTCATTATGAGAATGTCTGCTATTTGAAAACATTTACTGGACTTCTCAGAAGTAGCACTGAGCTGAATTTATAGTTTGAATACCCAGCAGTGCCAAACAATAATGTACGACTGAATTTAGGTGGAGAAAACACTTGACCTTCCACAACATGCTTTCTAACTTCCTTGACTCAAAGAATGAGCTCTGGGGCTGTGGATTTAGCTCAGCGGCATAAGTGCCTGCCTTGCATGTGGGTGGTCATGAGTTCGATCCCCGGTATTGATAAAAAAGAAGAAAAAACAAACAAAAAAAAGCATAAGTTCTGAACTGCTACCCTGTACTTCCTCTGATTTTTGGTTAAGATTTTGACTAGAACCAGCAATTTGAAGCCTTTTCCCTGAATATTTCACATGGGCACTTTGGCATTGCTCCTGGACTATTAGCCAGTATGTGCAAAACTTATGATACAAGCCCATCAGTTCTACTGAACTTGTGTTTTGGAAACACCGAGATTTTTTGGCACTGAAGTTCTTTGTGATTCATGTGATTTTAACACAGATGGGAAAATGAAAGACTTTCTAATTTTTAAATCCTCTTCACGCTGGAACACAAATGCATATCACCAAGCAAATATCTGTGAATTATCGTACTTTATTTGGAGCTTTGAGCTCACACACAAATATAATAATCAAAAGCTTCAACAACTTTTCCCATAGTTTTTAGTCTTTTTTAAATTTCCTACCATGTTCTTACTATACAATTTTATAAAATGGTACTCATTTTTAAAATAAGAATTCTCATCAATACTATTTTCCAAGGTTTCCCTTCAAAAGGAAGAAAAAGCATAAATATTTTCATTTAAAGACATAGTTATTGGTCTATCATATACAAATTTAAAATAGAGAATGGAATTTTAAAAGTCCAGTTTGCTCGTCCTTTATTCCCACTCCAACTCACCCCTTCTCCCCCCAAAAACCCTCACATTACCCAGAAGACCGCAAACAACTTTGGCCTTTTGAAAAATGTTATTTAATAAAAATCATAGCATGGACTGTTCAGAATGATTTTAAATGTAGCCAGATAAAACAGCCCTTTAGTATCTCCCCTCTCAGGCCAGCAAGACTTCAGCTAATCCCACAGTGTGGAGGAGCGATGTTACACAGTAAAGATATTGTCCCTCCAGACTGACCTCTCCAAGGGCTTTCATCAATATTTCCAACCTAAACTCTTTGGTTTCTCGTATCTTACTTACCAAACTGATTCCATCAATGAAAAATGCTATGTCAGAGCCAGATGGAATGAAATTTTCTTTGATTGTGTACCTTATCACTAGAATGAGGGATATTAGCTTTTTTTAAAAAAATTGTTGATTCATTCAACAAATTATTATTGAGGAATCAAAACATTCCAGACACTGTTCCATGCAGTGTGAATAAACTAAGGAAGTATGTCTGGCATAAGGAAGAACAGGCGTAAAAACCCTGAGACAGGAGTATGTGCTGAATATTGTAAAGAAATGCCAATTCTGTGCCAGTGTAAAGAGGATACAAGAAACAAAGGGGAAAGTAATAGGATGTGAAATCAGAGAGGTAACTAAGAAGAGAACAGAAACAAACAAACAAACAAAACTTTCCCAGGTCCTGAGTGTGAGCTGGGGAGTACAGGAGAGTATTGAACAGAGGAGCAATCTGAGATAACTTTTACTTTTAAAGGATCATTTTGTTGATTGAAGAAAAGGTGGAGCAGGTCATGTGTTAGGTATAAAGGACAGAAGCATCCAGGCCAGTTAGGAGGCTATTGAGATAATTCAGATGAAAAGAGTTGGATACAAGTGACCAGCAGGAGAGGAGGCAGTAAAAAATACTGCCTAAGTTCTAGATAGGTTTTGAAATATATGATATATGTATATATTATATATTTTTTTAAAATTTTATTTAAAGGGAAAAAAAACAAGACAAAAAAGGGTAAAAATAATTCAGAATGTCAAAAACTAAACAGTAAGAAATCGCTAGTTGATAAATTACACATCGTCCTCTTAGAAATAGCTGTTCAAGTTACAAAATCAAAGCATACAAAGCGGACCTTGAGTGAGACTGAAAACAGTTCTGTTTATATACATGTTTGAAGTGTATATATATGAGATGAGAGAGGAAAGATAAGTAAGGATTCATTTGTTTACCCAATAAATATTTACTGAATGCCTACTATGTGTCAAGCACTCTGCTGTATGTTTTGGATGTAATAATCAACAACACAAACAAAAAATTTCTACCTTCATGGAGCTTAATCTCTAATGGATAATAGCAGCTAATATTTTTAGTACATCCTATGCTTTATCATTTTGTTTTCTTAACTCATTTAATTCTTACTACAATTTAACCAGGTATACATATATCATATTATCCCCATTTCATAGATGAATAGATTAAGGCACAGAGGAAGTAGTTCCTTGAGTTCTCACAGTCTGTGTTGTAGCAGAGCTACGTTTCAAATCCAGGAACTTCTGCTCAAGAGTCAAAATCAAATTATTCCACTCCACTGCCTCTTTATCGGGCCAGTATTCCACAATAAGAAAACATTTCTAATTGTTTTATTTTTATTCCCCTATTTGTTTTTGCTTACCATGTTTTATAATTGATTTCCACAGAACACTAGGGGTATCTTACTGACCAATGTTTGTAGATTTTTCTGGGAGTAGCTCATGCTTTTAGCAAGCCTGATAAACCTCTGTCTTTAGACATTCCCGTGGATAACTAAAGCTAACATTAATATGACACTGTCACACAATATTTTGTGTCAAATAACACAGGACATTCTTAGGAAGTATTCACTCAGATCTTTCTGTGCCCGGCTGCTAACTTATATTTAGAATCCAGAACTTTTTAATGGCAACTTTAGTCATTCCTCCCAGTCTGAGGGAAACTGATACCAGGAATTTCTGAGGGCACCAAAATCTATAGATGCTCAAGTGCCCTATATAAAATGGTGTCCTATCTGCACACGTTCTAGCTCATCCTTCTATATGTGATAAATCCTCCCTTGGTAATGTACCATACCTCACACCATGTAAAAAGCTGTCACACTGTATTGCTTAGGAAACAACAAGAAAAGTTGTGCGTGTTCATATTTTCAACTATTTTCCTCCACACGGACTAAAAGAAGAAATTTTTAAAGTTAACATCTCCTCTGCTATTTTATGAAACAAAGATCACTCGGTGTCAATTATTTCAGAGAACATCTTGTACTGTCTTCCATCAGTATAACCTTTCCTCCTCCACTGAAGATGCTAAAATCCTGAGTTCCAAGTCCTTTATATAAATAGTATAATATTTGCATATTATCCCGTATAGTTTAAATTATCCCCAGGTGACTTGCAATACCTGATATAATGTAGACACTATGCAGTTGTTATACTGTATTGTTTAGAGAATAATGAGAAAAGCTTGCACATATTTTATAGAGAAACAATGTTTCTCAAATGTTTTTACTTGTATTACTTGTACTACTTTAATTGGTACTTTTTTAATCTATTTCTATATATGATTTGGCACAGTCTCATGCAGCTATGTGTCCCATTTCTCCAAGTTCATTTTATAAGCTCACTAAGGTTACAAGCACTGATTTATGTTTTTACTTCACAGCAGCTTCAGTTATGAGGATTGGCCCACAACTGAGTGTCTAATAAGAGCTGACTTGCTGCAATCAATGAAATGCTTTAAGAATCTGCTTATGATTCTGGATTTCATCCAAAACAAGATTGATATCACAGTTGCAGGTAAAATAATAGCTGCTGCTTCTTTCAGACTTAATTTGTGCTTGATGCTGTGCTAAATGTTTCTCCATCTACTATCTTATTTAATTCTGCTTTAGGTACTCATTATATTCCCCATTTTTTAGATGGAAAAAATATACGGTAAGGCTTTTTTTTTTTTTTTTTGCAGTACTGAGAACTGAATTCCCAGACCTTTGCTCTGAGCTACACCCCCAGCTCTCTTAATTTTTTTTTTTTTTTTGAGACAAGATCTCACTAATTCAGTCTGGGCTTGAACTTGTAATCCTCTTCCTTCAGCCATAGAGAGTGCTGGAATTATAGGTGTGTGTCACCATGTCCAGCTAGTTTAGTACATTTTGATGTATGTATGCACATATTAAATTATCATCAAGCCAGATGGATATATCTATCACCTCAAAAGTATTCATGATTCTTTGTGAGCCTTTTCACCATCATTTTCTGTTTCCCACCCTACTTCCTAGCACAAAATACTTTTTGATTAGGAGAGGCAGTAATTTACAAAAGCATGAAATGAAAACACCAGCTTTATCCTTAATATACTGAATTTATTCGACTAATGTTACAATTTGCCATTCAGTGGCTTGAGGTTGCCAACATTGAGCTTCAACTTCAGATTGACTTCTAAGCTAAGTACAACAGGAAAAATGATAATAAATTCTGAAAAAATTAGGAAGTTAACCTAAGAAGTCAGCTTAACAATCAATTTCTTCTTTTTAGGAATAAAAGATGTGAATTACTTATCAGATAAACTGAAACCCAGGGGATTTGGCTCTTATGTGTTAGGAAAAAGAGGATTGTTATTCAAAAGCTTTTGAAATACCTCTCTATAGCCCACTAGAGATAGTTCCAGTATATGACAGAGGTAGCAGTGCCTGTCAACAGCTAAATTCATTTTAAAAAAATACCAAGCCATTCATGTGATGAATGTACCTAGAAGTCATAGATTGCCACCAAGTTCCTAAATATATGATGCATAGGAGCCCTAAAAGGTTTTTTTTTTTGTCAAACTGATTTGTCTATCAGATTTGCTTGCTTACTTGTGCATCCTCCAGTGACACATTAACCTAACACTTTTACTTTAAATGGGGAAGAAACCTGAGAGTGAAAAAGATCAGGAGAACATCCTGACCTTGACAATCGACTGCCCTTGGCCACTGTCACCCACCTATCAATTCGTAGCCTTGCTTATGAAATGGGATGATGAGCAAAGAAGATTAACCTCATTTAAATGGTGAGAGAATTCAAAGCAGTATAATGTAACTATATATGTTCGAATTGCTATCTTGTAAGGGATGCTATGGGTGAAGATGGACAGGTAGATGGACAAGACTACCTGAAGGGGGAGCTGTAAACAGTCTCACAGGAAAGGGGGTAAGCATTCCAAATGCATCTAACCACTAGCAAAATCACTGGATTAGAAGCAGGAATGAGTGTCACAAATGCAATAGATGTAGAAAGAGAAAGTATAATTTCCATCACTGAAGGTCTTTAGGAGCCCTGCATTGCTGACTTCGAAGAACAGAGATACACATAAAAGAGAGGGAAAGGGCGATACAGAGAACAGATGAGGTCGAGAGTAGGTGCCAATTAATTCTTCTGTTTTCTTATCATATTTAATGGCAATCAGATATCTGGGTCTTTTATTTTAAGATAAGCCCTGTCTACCTATCACAAATTCTGCTTTGAATGGCTTCTATTAGCAGCAACAGTTAGCATAAAAGAAAATAGTAAGCAAGGAGAAAAAATTATGCAAACATTTCCACTATATTATCTGAACAAAAGACAGAAATATTCCAGGATGGCAAATATTCAAGAAGATCTAACCCCTCTGCAGTAAGTTATCTGGTAGTCAAGCACGTTGATCCTCAACTCTTCCACTTAAGGGGTAAATAGCTCATACAGAAGCCCATAAAGCAATGAATCATTTAACAAAATAGAGGAAAATAATCTTCAATTATGTTCCATTGATTGAGAAGAGATGGAATCTTGAGTTCTCAAATGGAGATATGAAGGGATGACCTGGTGAAACCAGGAACACAGTCACTAAATTCTGAAAAGCATTTTTTGCCAATGGAAGAGACCACTGCATCCTCAGTTGGAATGGCCACTTGATCCCTGTCTAAGAGGCTTAATCTTGCATTCCCCAAAGAAACTGTAATAGTCTCCTCTGAAGCGTTACCTTAGAGATCAATGCTGAGTGACCCATTCTCACCACCCTTCTTTAGTTCTATGCTGATAGACTAAGTACAAACAGAATCCCAAAATGAAATACAATCTATGAACCATAAGAAGCTACAGTATTCAAAAATAACTACTTGAATTTTCTAATGTATCAAGACAGAAATCCAGGAAATATGTAGGATTGAAAATCAAAGGTGTGGCATAATACTCTAAGGAACATAAAGTTGGATATGGACTGATTTACTGATATGGATTAAGCAGAGAATGATGTTGCAACTTGCAGATCAAAAAAAGATGCTATTAGTTTGTGTATTTGGTTTGCTCAAACAAATGTCAAAAGATTCCTCCATGAGCAAATTAAAAATGCCAAACTTACTTTAATATCTTGTAGTGAAAGAGATTTAAAAGTGTACAGAGACTAAAACTTTTGAGTGGATTTTTCATTTAAGACCTTCTCCCCCGTTTTTGAAAGGACTAGAAAGCATCTTTCACTGTGACTGAAAAATAAATATGTGAGAGGATCCTCAGCATCCTTGAAGACTTCTGTGATTACTTTTCTCTGCTGACTTCATAGTAGAAACTTCAGTAAATTGGGAACTCTTAAATACAATGGCTATAATTGAGTCTCAGAATACCAGGGACCAGCTGTAATACTCGCCCTGAAAAGCAACATGGGAATAGACATAAAAGACAGAAGAGTTAAAGCAGCAATTGCAATAATCTGATTTATGCAGATCTATAGTATTAACTAGATGATCATGGAGTTCCTAAAAGTGAAATAGAAAGGAAGACTAATAAAGGGTTACTTGAATGGTATAAGTAGGAAAGTTCTTGGTCAAGTGAAAAAGTCTAATTGGATTTCAAAATCAGCCAATCAATCCCCTATCTTCAGTCTGTTTATAAACTAAAAATTGTCTGAGTGAAGGGGAAGTCAAGTCCTCTTTAAAAAGGACTCCAGCCCATTATCATAAATTACAGTGTTAATATTTCTCCCAAGTGTTCCCAAAGTGATCCATGGCCTTTTGCCAAGATAGCTGTATATCTATAGCAAAAAGGAAATAATTAGACAGTTCAGGAAGTATAGAAACACCAGCTCAGAACTGACAATAGTTCCAAAATGTCATTGTGGCCCACTAGTCAGAGTAGGGGCTTATGAAAGTCAATTTTTCAATGCAATTTTAGCTCATGTGTGTTTTACAGTGGTTTCCTGAACCCATTGTGTGGTTGTTTCCCCTGATCTGGAATACATAATTGGACTAGATATACTCAAGCAGCTGGAAGAATCACCATTTGTCTTCCTTGACCTGTATGTAAGGGATGTTATTGTGGGGAAAGCCAAGCAGACATCACTAGAACATCCTCTTCCTTAGAAAATAGTAAAGTCAATACCCCATTCCTCTAGGGATAGGGATTGTACTAATTATTCAAGGACTTGAGAGATGCAGGAGTGGCAGTTACTACCACAAATCATTCAACTTGTCCATTTGGCCTTCGCAGAAGACAGATTTTGAAGAATAACTGGATTATTGTAAACTTAACCAGGTGATGACTCTGATTGTAGTTTCTGTACCAGATGTGATTTCACTTCTTAAGAAAATTAACATATCTCTTAGTGCCTGCTATACAGCTACAAATGTTTCAAATATACTTTTCTCCTCTCTGTCAATAAGAACCATCAGAAGCAAGCTCCTTTCAGCTGGCAAGGCTAGAAATACAGATTCATGGTGCCATCTACCTAACTATATGACAACGCAAAAGCCAGCATCATATTAAAAGACAAAAAATGAAAGCTTTTACTCTAAAATCAGGAACAAGACAAGGGTGTCCATTATCACCACTCCTATTCTATATAGTGCTGGAAATACTATCCAGAGAAATTAGAGAAGAGAGACAAATAAAAAGAGTAAGGACAGGAAAAGAAGTAGTTAAATTATCATTATTTGCAGATGACATCATACTCTGCATAGAAGACCCCCAAAACTCCATTGAAAGACTCCTAGGCATAATAAATAAATTCAGTAATTAGCTCTATACAAAGTCAACACTCAAAAACAAATAGCATTCCTTTACACAAACAATAGACTCACTAACAGAGAAATGAGAGAAACCACACCCTTCACAACAGCATCCAAAAAAATGAAATACTTAGGAATCAATGTAACAAAAGAAGTAAAAAGATCTATTCAGTGAAAACTATAGTACCCCAAAAAAAGAAATTGAAGAGGATCTCAGAAAATGAGAAGACATTACTTGTTCATGGATAGTAAGAACAAATATTTTGAAAATGGCCATTCTCTAAAAATTGTTATACAGATTAATGTAATCCCAATCAAAATAGCACAGATCTAGAAAAATCATTCCTGAAATTCATCTGGAACCAAAAAAGAACTGGAATGGCAAAGGCAATTCTGGGCAACAAAGGCAAGACAAGAGGCATCACAGTCCCTCACTTGAAGTTATACTACAAAGCTACTGTAATAAAATCAGCATGGTACTAGAATAAAAACAGACCTGAATATCAGTGAAATTGATTAGAAGATATAGCTACAACTACAAACAAACTTAGTCACCTTATCTTTGACAAAGGGGCCAAACACATTCACTGGAAGATAGTCTCTTTAATAAGTGGTGCTGGAAAAACTGTCTCTCCATATGCCAAAAACTAAAACTAGACCCATGCTTAGCACTATGTACTTATCAAAAGTCAAAATGGAGCAATGATCTAAATATTAAAACAGAAACACTAAATCTGCTGGAAGAAAAAGTAGGTAAAAATCTTGAAGACATAGTGGTAGGCAAAG